CCTTTAAGTCGAAAGAAAGGGCTTCGTTGTGTGGACGTGTCCAGGCTTAATTCGGTTTAATGCTGCTAAAGTCGACCTAAACCCGTAGTGTAGACCAGGCCTCAGTTTAATTACATTGGTAAATTTACAGGCACAAGCTAAACCAGCACAAGCCAGTTTTAAACCTATTGAAGTGCATCCACTCACAAAGTTACACCGGTTTAACTAAACTGTTTTGAAACTAGTTTAAGTGAAATCCGTGCTGTGTGTAGGGCAGTCCCTCATATGTTTGTGTCAGCCAATTGAGAGCTGGGACCTCTGTAGCATTACAACCTAAGGTCCTCCAAAGATTCCCAAAATCCATGGGGGGAGAGGGTGGGAGCCAGGATTTGATATTCCAAATGCAGAAAAACTGTTGTGCTCTCTGCATCATAAAGGAGATGTTACAAGTGAAAACCCTTTTTCTGCTTTGCAATTCACTTTTATGTTGTTACTTGCAGCAGTGTGACACGTTAAAAATAAGTTCCTCCTAGTAGATCTGATTCATTTCCCATGTGAAAACTTTCACTGCAAAATGTATTTTTACCTGCATTGCAGTTTTCTCCTCTGTAACTCCAGCAGCATTCTATCCCCATTTTACAGATGGGGAAACTGAGGCACAGAGTGGCACAGTGACTTGACTTGCTATGTGACCTTGGACAATATCAAAGGCAGGAACCGAACCCAGGAATTCTGACTCCCACTCCAGCGTCCTGTCTACTGGACCTAGCTACTTGGTTCAGTCCACTTATATCATAAATATAGTTAAGTCTGTTTTCTGTTACTGCTAGGAATTATTTTCTCTTCTTTTAGGCTCCAAGGACTACCAGCTGGTCACGTGGTCTCGTGACCAGACGCTGCGGATGTGGCGGGTTGACTCCCAGCTGCAGAGGGTATGCAAAGCGCTTTTGGCGTTGGACTGGGGACAGCATTCTGAAGTGCTAAATTTACCATCGTTTACTTGTATGAAGTGTGACTGATGGCACAAGCTCAGGCACAAGGTCTCTAGATGCCATCCAACCTTCTCACTCACAGCTCAGGCCCCCCAGGATGTGTCTACACTGCACCCTTCTTTCAGCGGCGTGGAGTGTACACGCACAGTCCCCCAGCACAGGTACAGATAGCAGAGTAGACAGTGAGGCACAGCTTAGACCAGTACAGACATACCGGGCTGAGTACATACCGCACATGGTTCTCTACTCACCGTCTACACTACTGTTTATACCCATGCTAGGAGGCCTACACATGTCTGAATGCTGCATGCCTCTCCCGGGGCCCTTCCCCACTGTGGGGAAAGATGCTGGCACGGGGGAAAAGCTCTGATAGCTCCCCTGTGCTGGAGCTCTTTCCCTCCTTCAGGGAAAGACTCCAGCAGCGGGGAAACCTTTCCCCGCTGCTGGAGCCTTTCACTCACATGTGGAGCTGTACACCAGTGTGGATGTGGTGTGCTTTCTCACTGCAGCGTATAGCTATCCATATGGTGTGTAGTGTAGACGGAGCCTAACTCTGACCTGTAATGTACAGCAGGCTGCACTGTGCTCCAGACAAATGTTTGCTAGGCAGGAGGTTTCCCACTGGACATACAGAACCTCGAAGGCTTCACAGGAACAGCAAGGCTGAGTCCTGCTGTAACAGCAGGTGCACTATGAAGTGGTGTTGTCCAGTATCAATGGGAAGGGTTACCAACTACCCCAAGCTAACTGCAGAATCTAAAACTCTCCAGCAGGCATTGCCTCTGCAGTCCCCCGCACACCTGGGCACAGATGGCTCAGTGCTGCAGGAACCCAACCCTCCTAGGGAGTCAAGGCTGAGGCTATGTGCACCCTCTTCTGGCTTGGAATACTAGGTGCAAAGCTCTGACGGGGACCTTGGTCCCAGCTGGCCTCTCTTGCTTTCCGACTTGCGAGGGTAGCGGCTCTTCGACCCATTGCCTCCAGCCAGATCACACTGTGTCCCGTCACTCGTTAGCAGGCAGTTTTGCATGATTTCTGTTAGTTTTCTCCTATGTCCAGACCTGTTGTTTGTATCCCAGGGAGATGCCCATGAGTAAGTCTGGTAATTGCCATGGCAGCATGCTTGTTTGGTCATTACTGTGTCCTTCCCCACATTTGTCTGTCCACTCTCTCCTGTGTCTTGTAAATCCAGGCAGAGAGATCTCTGGGTCTGTTGGCTATTTGTCTGGGCGTTGCCCAGCCCAGTTGGGTTGTGGCCCTTAATTTGGGGCTGCTAGTCCTGACCATAGTGTAAATAACAATGGCAAAAATGCAGAAGTCCTAGTACTGGCTTTAAAAAGCAAAGCAAGGCATGGCACATGATATTCTAGCTCGTACTGATCAGTTTGTCATGGGATGGTATTAGAAAAGTCAAATCTCCTTTATTTTAGAATAAAACTTGGCTAACCACTCATTAATCTATCCCCCTGCTTGCTACATGGGCATGCACACAGAGCCACGTTTGCAAGTGACGGGGGGAAATGTGGTCGAGCAGGCTGGGTGACAAAGGCCAGGCCTCTTCTCTGATGAAAAGCCATGTCTTTCATCACAGGGCGCCGGCAGGAAAGCAGTGCCAGGCTCTTTGAGATGTGGCTGTTGCGCACACGCCCACCTGGTTAATTTAAGCTCCCTGGAGAGATGAGCTGCTGTATCGTTCCTCGTGTATTTTGGGCTGCCTTTGTTTGATCCCTGTGACGCAGCACGTGGGTGTGCTTGTTCTTTTCAGCTGTGCGCTAATGATATCTTGGACGGGGTTGACGAACTCATTGATGGGATTGCCCTCCTGCCTGAGCCGGATAAGACCCTCCACACCCAGGACTCTGAACCCCAGCATAGCTCCGGGCATGCAGACGAGGACGGTGAGAGAAGTTCTTTTGCTATTTGAAACGGAAACCTTTTGGAGGTCATCTCTAAGCCAGTGGTCGTTCGTGCTCTGACTAAGAGACAGACGCATGCCTGCTTAACCGTCCTTGTGGGAGGGTGGCTGCCACGACCCTGGCAAGAAGGGGTCATCCACCTGTGAAAGGAAAAAGTATCCCCAAAAGCAAACCGTTCCTTGTCTCTATTGTTAGTAGCATTGATTTGTATGGTGGTATCGCCTCGGGGTCTTGGGCATGGATCATGGCCCCATCATGCCAGGCCCTGGGCAAAGGCAGACCTAGAAAGGTGGTTCCTGCCCCATGGAGCCTACAATTGAAGTGTAAGACCAGAGACAGCAGGTGGATGCAGACAGGGGGGGAATCCAAGGAAGTTGGTCAGCATGATGGGCAGTGGCTCGGCACAGCGACAGGCTACCCATTGTCAGGGTTTTTGTAGGTATGCCATCCAAGGGTCATTCTAAGAAGGGATCTGAAGGAGGTGAATGAGGTGGCTTGTTGATGTTTGCTGGGAGTGTCTCCTATTCCCAAGGGGCAGCACGAGAGGGCACAATGGCATTTTTCTGCATATGGAACAAATGAGCAGCTGAGGCAGGCGTCAATGTCTCAGCAGGATATAAGTGGTGGAGCTAGGATGGGTTTAGACCGTGACAAGCCCTGCAAGTGAAGACAAGGAATTGGTGTTTTCAGCAGAGAAGGGGCAGCCAGTGGAGGGACGCTAAAGGAGGGGGTGACGTGACCAAAGTGACAGGCTAGGGAAAAGACCTGTGCAGCAGTGTTTTGAAGGATATAAGTGAGGGCAGGATAGGGTTTGCCAAGGCCAGAGTGGAGGAGGTTGCAGCAGTTGAGATGAGGGGCAACATGGGCCTGGATGAGAGATGTAGCTCCTTTTGGAGCTCCCCTCCTCCTAGGCAGGCAGTCTAGAGCCCCAGCAATGGGCATTAAATAACCGGTTCTGTTTCTTTGCAGGTAGGGAAAATGGAAGGGGCTCCAATTCGGCAGGGTCCCAAAGCAGCAGGCCTGATTCTCCTTTTTGGCAAAGACCAAAACCCTTCTGGGCAAGCTAGCAAAAGGGCAAATGCAAACGCCTGTCCCCATGTCTCACCTCAGCCAGCTAACCCATGCGAAATGTATTAGCAGGAGTATTGTAAGCAAGACACAAGAAGTAATTCTTCCGCTCTACTCCACGCTGATTAGGCCTCAGCTGGAGTATTGTGTCCAGTTCTGGGCGCCACATTTCAGGAAAGATGTGAACAAATTTGAGAGAGTCCAGAGAAGAGCAACAAAAATGATTAAAAGTCTAGAAAACATGAGGAAAGATTGAAAAAATTGGATTTGTTTTCAAGTACATAAAAGATTGTTACAAGGAGGAGGGAGAAAAATTGTTGTTCTTAAACTCTGAGGATAGGACAAGAAGCAATGGGGTTAAATTGCAGCAAGGGCAGTTTAGGTTGGACATTAGGAAAAACTTCCTAACTGTCAGTGGTTAAGCACTGGAATAAATTGCCTAGGGGGGTTGTGGAATCTCCATCACTGGAGATTCTTAAGAGCAGACTGGACAAACACCTGTCAGTGATGGTTTAGAATAGATAATACTTAGCCCTGTTACGAGTGCAGGGGACCTCTCGAGGTCCCTTCCAGTTCTATGATTCTATGAAATACAGCACCTCTTGTCCTAGTCTAGAGCACCCTTAACGAGCTATGGCCATGGCTCTCTCCTCCTGACCTGACAGCTCATGCGCCTTTATGTGCTCTCTTGTCTCTCCCTGCAACTAAGAGTTAACCCTTCTGCTGCCCAGCTGGGCATGGGATACGTTCACCCTGTCAAAATTGCTGCATCAGTTTCCATTTGATTCAAGTTTTTAAGCTTTCCTTTGCAGCCATGAGGGCTGGATTTTTTTGTTTTAAGCAGAGAGTAGATTCTGCAGTAAATGCTGTGGCCACAGGATCAAAGAACATGCGAGTCCTGGCTGTTTTGTTTGGCCCTTCCCAGCCGAAAACTGTTGTGAAGAGTTGATGTGTGCAGTTAAACACTCGCTGCTGTTCACCCCGACGCAGCTGCATTTCAGCAGTGGACGAAGGAATCCTATGTTAACATTTGTACAGCGTTTTGGGATGCTTGAGGAGAACAATGCTTTGTAAATAAGACCCAAGCCCTCCTCCCTCAATATAAAACAATGTCCACAGTCTGTTTGACAATTCGAGGTCCTTAGGAATCCAGATGACTATGCAGGCTCCTGAGGATTAGACACTAGACCAATGGGGAGGCGGAAGAGAAGTCATCTCCCCTCCCAAACTTCCCATGCCAGGGAACTGCAGTGGTGATGTGTTAGAGGATTAGAGGAGTGTCTTCTGTTCAGGAAATGATCACCTTCTTCCTTGAGAGCCACTGGCCTTTCTCAGGCCCCTATTGCAAGGCATCTAAGCACTATAATAAAATCCCAAATACTAATTAACAGCTAAGAGACCCACCCAGCCAAATACAACAGCCAAAAATATCTGGTCCAGAGGCTAATCCAAGAATTCTCACGGAAACCTCCCACAAAGGGAGCAGTTCCCAGCATGGGAAATGAAAGGGGGAATAGATGAAAAAAATACCAGGGACAAGAATAGGCCAGCAGAATTAACTAGGACTTGCCTCATGCCCTAAAAACAGCCTCTGGCAGAGACCACAGCCGATCTCTTGTGAAGGTCATTCCACAATCAAGATCTGGCCATCATGTGGTACCTACCCTTGATGCGGTGCTGACTAAGTGTACAGTCGACCTAAGCCAGACAACCATAATGGTCAGGAAAGGCCACGGGAAGAGGTACAATAATATATCGCCAAAGCCTCTAAAACTCTCACTGAGTTTTGCCTTGCCCACGCTTCCTGATTTCCCATTGTGTCACCTCAGTCATTTAAAAAGAAGAACCGGAGGTGCCACAAGTACTCCGGTTCTTCTTTCTGCGGATACAGACTAACACGGCTGCTACTCTGAAACCTGTCAGTCATTTAAATGTCTTTTGGCCTTGCAAGGCTATTACTGGCCTTCAGGAAGAACTACCTAGAGTGCTTATGGGCGTATAGCCCATCCTCCTGCTGGGAGAATGAGTGAGGTGTAAGAGTCTGTCTCCTTTCTAATGGACAGAGCCTGCTCTCTGTGGCTGCCTGCTGTGGGGAGTGGCTATCTCAGAATGGTGGCCAAGCTAGCGCCATCCCTGTGTAAACATGGAGAGGCAGGAGGCCCCAGCTCAGGAGAAGGGAATCTTCCTCCTATTTGCATGCTTTAGCTGTCAGACAGGCCACGTGAGCAGTAGAGCTGGCTGCTAGATGTACGCGTTTAGATGTGCACACTTTACAGGGTGTCCTAAAGCCATCAGACTTGGTCTCTCTTGGAGCAGGTGCAGGGGTGAATACCAAAGTGCAGAGCCCTTGCTAGGAGCCAGGAGCTACAGTTCTGCTAATATCGTGTGGGAGGGTCTCTCTTGAGTAGGCAGGGCCCAAGCAAGTTAGGCCTTTGTAGATTAAAATCAAGCCTTAAACTCCACCTGGAAAGTAGCGAGCAGCTGGCCATGTTTTGCAAAGGATGGGCTCTCCAGGGCCCCATCCAGCCTGCGGTCCTTCCCACTGGCTTCAGAGAGTGTTGTCCGTCTGGCCCAAGGGCTGGACCCAGATCCCAGACAGCTGAGTGGTACTCATGGTCACATGCTCTTTGATGGGTGTGTGCCTGTTGCCGTGGGCACCTTGCGCACCAGGAGATTGGCGGGTCCCCTGAAGCTTTTCTTTCACATTCTGCCTCAGCCTGTTTGTTTTCCGTTTCTCCTGCCAGCTTTAAAGGAAGACTTCCAGAACGACCTCCTGGTGGGAAGAAAATCAGACCAGCTGGGGTTGCCGCAGACCCTGCAGCAGGAGTTTTCCCTGATCAACGTGCAGATCCGAAACGTCAATGTGGAGGTAGAGGGAAAATTAGGGAAAATTTCCTCCTGCTGACAGCAGGGGACGCGGGCAGGACTGGATCACCCAGTGTCTTGTGCTGGGGACCCTCTCCGAGCACTATGAGGCTGATTGCTTTAAACAACACTTACGTTGGGCTATGGATGCAGGACGTTCCCCAGGCCAATGGTAGGATAATCCCAGGTCACGGTACAGGGGTGGGAGGTGCAGGTATTTCTAGGCCACAGATGCACAGGGTGGCAGAGGGGTGGGGAGGTATTTCCCAGGCCACAGCTACGATCTCGCTGTAGCTCTTAAGTGGCAGACTGGGGAAATCTCTGCCTGGAAGGAAGTCGCTGTAAGAAGTTCGCCAGTGCTGATGTTGGATTCCAGGTGGGGTGATGGGGTGATTCCGAATGGCTGAAGCCCTGAAGTGCGCTGGGAGCTCATTCTTTTGCTGGGAGTCAGTGTTGCCCCTCGTGATGTTTTGTAAGCGTGAGGCACGAGTGCCGGCCTGAGCTCAAGTTTAAAACCTATGATTGGGGGCCCCTAATGAGGAGGAAGGCGGGGAGCCCTGGAGCTCCTTCTGCTCCACCTCTCCCACCCCCCAGTTGGTAGTTCTGGAAGCAGCCAGGGAGAGCCTTGGGGTCCCTCTCTCCTACCTAGCAGGCCAGGTGCACTGAACTGGATGAGCCCCAGAGCCCAGCATCATCATTACTTGCATTATAGTGGAGCTCGGAGGCTCCAACAGAAATCAGAGCCCCATTGTGCAAGGTGCTGTATGTGTGCACCTAATGAAAGACAGCCCTCATCCCAAAGAGTTTATCATCTTAATAGACAGGACAAAGGGCCGGAGGGGAAACTGAGGCACGGAGTGACTTGCTTCAGGTCTCATATCAGGACAGTGGCAGAATCGGGAGTAGAGCCCAGGAGTCAAGTCCAGCTCTGTGCCCTAGCCATTAGGCCACGCTGCCTCTCGGGGATTGGACTCTCCCTTACACAGCAAGCTCCGGTTTGTATATGGTGCCTGCCAGGAGGAGACATCGCTGTGTGGCTTAGGGGAGAGCTCTGGAGCAGCTGACTTGGTAGGTGGTGGTTACAGGGTTTGTCTGGCAGGTGCTGCTGTTGACCTCTTGGAGCCAAAGGGCCAGGCTCTCCGGAGGGGGTGCATAGGGTTAACCCACTAAACGAGGAGCTGCCCAGTGACATGGGATGGACTGAGAAGGCCATATTTAGAATGGATACTCCCAATTCCTGCCTGAAGCTTCCACCGCAGAGTGGGCTGTCTCGGTGCAAAGCTGGGAAGTGCTGAGCCAATCCCCCATTTGTGTCTGGAGTTTCTGCTATCTCTGTGTTTGCAGCCCCTGTGCACAGTGTGCATTGCAGCCTGGTGGGACCTCTGCAGAGGGACCAGCCCCTTGTGGCAGATTTCAGCCACCATATGGCTAAAGGCCCTGGGAGGTCTGCGTCAGAAGTGGTTGCTTTTCCTTTCGCAGATGGACGCTGTGAATCGCAGCTGCACAGTGTCTGTGCACTGTGGCAACCAGAGAGTCAAGATGCGGGTGATGTTCCCTGTGCAGTATCCCAATAATGCTGCACCCTCCTTCCAGTTTGCCCCCACTACCACTATCAGCTCCACAATGAAGGCAAAGCTGCTGAAGGTAGGGATGTGTGCGTGCGCAGGGAGGGGGGTGCACTCTGCATCTGGTATGTGGAGCCCAGATGCAGTGACATGTTCGACTGCTCAAGTCCAGGAAGGGGACACTGAGGGCTGAATGTGACTTGCAGATGTATTTTAGGCCTCCTGGGCTGAGTTTTCTTGACCGTTTCACATGAGTAGTTAAGGTCTGTTTTTCACCTGGTGTGTAACTTGCACCAACACAACATACGTGCTGTCGGATTTCCTCGCGGTGTGTATATGACACGAGGAAACCAACAGGAGGGCTTCCCCAGGTTCTCAAACAGATACACCCCACACCCTGCTGCTACAATAACAGCCCAGAAAAATGCCCTCTATCCCAGGTACCCAGAGATCGCAGGGCTTAGCTGGGATATTGCTACCGATCACTTTGGCCGCTGCTTCCTCATTAAGCCCTTCTAAAGCTCAGCTGGGCTCGTTTTTTACCCGCCGCCCTTTTTTAAAATGTAGGGTTGAGCTGAGTTTTCTGGATAATTTTTGTAGGGCTCCTACTAATCCCTCATCTTCTCCCTGCTCCAAGGCTGGCTGCCTATGCGGGGTCCGCACTTGGCTTCCAGCTGCTGAAATTCTTTTTCCAGAAGCGAGAGCTGCCTTCCCCCTGGTGCTGCTGTAAGGAGCAGAGGTCTGCGTCCCAGGGGTCACTGTCCTGCTTGGAATCTGGGAGAGGAGGAGAAGTAGAGGGGGCCCAGTACCAAGAGGAAGCAGATCTTAAACATGCCAACCTTGGCCTAGATCTCCCAGATCTTCATGACAAAGTGAGGAGGGCCAGGTCCTAGATAAAAGTACCACTTTATGTAGGACCTAGAGGAAAAACGGTGATCCAGATGCATCCCTGGTGCAAGTGTATTCATTGACTTCATTGGGCATACACCAGGGATGCTGTTGGCCCATGGCAGTGTGTTCTGCTGGCAGTGTTTGAAGCCTCACTAGGGGAATAATCCATGTTTGCTGAGTGGAGGGGGCAAACTAGGGACGAGCGGTTATTATCAAAGGGTAGGCTGAGAGCAGTAAGATTTAAAGGATTCCCGGGATTGTTAACGTCTGTCTGTCTTAAGTACTTCTCTGTCTCCCATCAGTGTAGTATCTGAGCACCTTACTGGACTTATCCTCACACACCCCTGGGAGGCAGTGGATCTGCAGCAGAACTAGGAGTTGAACCTGAGCCTCCCAGCCATGTTCATTTATTATTTATCATTTATTATAGCACAGGGATTGGCAACCTTTGGCACGCGGCCCCTCAGGGAAATCCACTGGCTGGGATGGTTTGTTTACCTGCAGCATCCGCAGGTTTGGGTGCTCGCAGCTCCCACTGGCCGCGGTTTGCCGTTCCAGGACAATAGGGGCTGCGGGAAGCGGTGCGGGCTGAGGGATGTGCTGGCTGCCGCTTCTTGCAGCCCTCATTGGCCTGGAATGGCGAACCGCAGCCAGTGGGAGCCGCGATCGGCCGATGCTGCAGGTAAACAAACCGTCCTGGCCCGCCAGCGGATTTCCCTGATGGGCCGCATGCCAAAGGTTGCCGATGAAGCCGGATCCCACTGCATTAGGCACTGTACAAACCCCGAACAAAAAGAAACTCTGCCCCAAAAGGCTTCCTTCCCAATGAATAGCACGGCGTGTTTCTGTAGCACCTTTATTGCAGGGGTCTGCAGCATGAGCTGATGTAATCTTTGTCACCACTGGGCAGTGGGTCAGTATCCCCCCTTGCTTTATGGACAGGGAAATAAGCACAGAATAGCTGTGACTTAGCCAAGGCTACACAGCACATCCGTGGCAGAGCCAGTAACCGATTCCAGTGATCTAATAGCCAGTGCTGTGCCTTAACATGACAACCCTTCTCAAAGCAGAGCGCGGGTCAGTTTGCCTATATTGAGGGCTCCAGGAGGTGTTCCTGGGCCTCCAGACTCACGGTATGGACTCTGGCAGCCCAGCTGCTTTGCAGATGAAGAGCTAGTGGGGAGGTGTGGTCATGGGTAAGATGACCCAAGCTGCATCTTGTGCCTGTTCCAGATTCTGAACGACACTTCCCTGCAGAAGGTGAAGCGGAACCAGAGCTGCCTGGAGCCTTGCCTGCGTCAGCTGGTCTCCTACCTGGAGTCCGTTGTGGTAGGAAGGATTGCACGCTTTTCCTGCTTTCCTCCTCTCCCTACACCTTCTGCCTTGTCAGACACCCCGTGTGCCATTGGTGACCTCTGAGATGCGGCCTGTGTAGATGTTTGGTAAATGGGGTGGGGGGGGGGAGGGCAAATTGAGCATGTGATTGAATGTACGCAGTTCTCAAAATCAGACCCTGAGTATTTGCTCCCTGAGTTCAGAAGTTTGAGGTGTCTCCTGGCTTTGTACTCCCAGCCTGTGCCAACACAGGGCGCTGCAGGGAAGTGTGGAGGAGGTCTAGCTGCGGGGGAACTTACAGCTACTCTCCTTCCAATAGGTGTCACTGGGGGGCCTGGCAGGGGAGTACTGGTTGCGGAGGGAGAGCTGGCTCTGGGAAATTGTCATGCAGGAGAAGCTATAGAGAGCTGAAATATTAACTCTTGTTTGGGCTGGTGGCTTCAGGACATGGGGTCAGGCTCTGGGCTCTGACTGAAAGATCCTTCCACCCTTCTTCAAGGAACCTACAGGTTTTTTCTTTAAACAAAGCTAGTGAGTTGGGTTTGAGCTAAGCATGCGCTCTGCAGAGCCCATGCCCTCACGTTCTCTAGGGACGTCATTACAGGCAGGCTGGCCCTGTGCCAGGTGCTGTCCCCCCTTGGCTCAGCCAGGGCACGTTTGTCTGAGGCCCCTGGTTTGTCTGCATTGCAATGCTGGGAGCAGGTTAGTTCCCAGGGAAGCTTGGGGGTTTCTTCCTGGGTTTCCGCAGGTTTGGGTTTTATTTACTTCTTGGTGTCCGATGCGGCTTGGGCCAGACACCACCATCTAGAACAAATTATATCAGTCCTCATCTGCAGCAGCTCTGCTATCCCATCCCTGCCTCAGCCTCCACCCCATACACACAGCGCTCTGACCTGCAGCTCCTGCAGGTCCATTCCTGCCCTCCCAACACCCAGCTCGGCTGGTGCCCCTCAGGCCTGACCTGCGGCATGCCTGCTGTTCCAGTGGTGGTCCCCCTTAAAGAGACATTGGTCACGTTGAGTTGTGTGGCAGCATGGTGCATGGGACATGTAGCTAAGCCAAGCTCCCCCGTCTGTTACATGTTGCTATGACGGAGTCCAGAGTCTGAAGGCCAAACCCTCTGTGCCTCTGAGACCGTTGGGTTTTTGAGCTCTTAACCTCCACTTTCTTGCTCAAGGCAGCCATGAAACCAAAGGAAGGTGGGTCAGCAACTCTTCAAAGGCTCTGTGAGCTGAGCAGGGGAAGGAGTCCAAGCAGTGAACACACCCACTGCAGAGCAGAAACCACTCCATGTGCTTGGCCTCTTCGGGCTTGCAGGACAAGAGGTTGCCATGGAGCCAGCCTGTGTTGCGGGTCACAGGTCTGTGAGGAGAGCTTTCCTCCAAGACTTGCAGCATGATCTTGGGTAACTTCTGTTTCAGAACCAGGAGGACAGCACCTCCAGCAACCCCTATGCTCTGACAAACACCGTAACACCACCGTTGCCCACCTTCGCCCGAGTATCTAATGCCTACGGCTCCTACCAGGATTCCAACATCCCATTTCCACGGACCTCTGGAGCCAGGTTCTGTGGTGCAGGTTGGTCTGACGTCTGGTTTAGAACCCTCCACCAAGGGATCAGTTAGCTGATCTGCCTGCTGGAGATCCCCCCCGGACAGTGGGCATTCGCCCTGGAGCAAAGGCAGGCTTTTGTCTCTGGCCCCCCCAGCCGATAGGGGGCGAGATTAGAGTGCTGTCAGAGTTCTGTAGGAATCGCACTAGTTCGCAGCTCCTCTTGGGCCATGTTGTGGGTGGTCTTTGGTATGTGAAACTGGGAGACGAAGAAGAGCTGAAAATATCTAGAGCCACCTGCTGGCCTGGAGGTGCTGCTACCTGTCAGGGATAGGGGGTTTCTGGCCATGTCTTGGGCATGAACACAACCCCCTCTCCAGCAGCAAGTGGGCATCTGCATGCCTCCCCTGCCCCATCTGTGGCACAGCACCCTGGCTCCTCCCCAGGGCAAACTGCTGCGTGTGTTTTGGCTCCCTGACCCACTTGTCACCTAGCTCCTGTGACTGGGGCTGGTGGGAGAGCTGCCCTTCCCCTCCCCCAGGTTGAACCCTTGCACACTGGTACCTTCATTCCCAGCAGTAAGCTCCCAGCATGCCAGCTGGGAGCCTGTCTGTTAGTAACTCCTGCTGCCCAGTAACCCCTCACTCCTCGTCGGGAAGTGAGGGCACGGTCTTTAATAACCAGCTTCCCAGGAGGGTGTGTGCCAGGTAATGACCTTCTCAAGGAGCAGATTAGGGCCTGTTTAAGCTCTGGAATCATGGAAAGTTGCTTCAGATGCAAGAGCAACTCTCCAGGGCCCTGCCTGCATTCCGGTTTGAAAATCTTGTGTGGCAGGGGTAATAAAACCCATGTAACGCGGCCACACTCGTTTCACAGGACGAAGTGAAGCAGGTTAATCCAGGCAGGTTGGATCTGTTAAGACTGCTGTGCCGTGCTGGCAGGCAGGGTGTACTGGGCTGCAGAAGGTTGTTGGGGGCAATACCGAGTGGGCGTAGACTTGCACGTACTTCACATGTACCATCTCTCTCTTCATCTTGTGCTGGGCCTACACTGCAAGTCTGAACAGTGAGAGCAGCTCCTCTCTGTCTAGTTATTTATACCACACTCCTCACTGGGGTATCCGAGTGCTTGACAAATGTCAGTGCAGAGTTACAGCTCAAGGACAGGGCTTCGCCTTCTCCCTCTCCTCTCCTTGGAGCTAGTTCTTAGGAGCTGACGGATTGAAAAGCTGGGCTCTTTATTTTGATGGGTTCAGGGAAGTAGATTTGGCTTGAGAAAAATCAGATTGTCTGGATGGGGTTTACAGACGAGGGGAGAGTGGCTGGGCTGGTTTGTGGGCATCCCGCCACGTGCCTCATTACTGTTGGTGGGGTTTGTGTGCCTTAACTCCACAGGCATCACTGTGAAAGCTACCCCTTAGGGCAGGGGAAAGGGCTGCGAATGTTCAAATCCTATCTGCTCTGAATGGGGTTTTATGTCCTGTCTCCACAGGTTACCTGGTATATTTCACAAGACCCATGACAATGCACCGTGCAGTCTCTCCTACAGAACCTACTCCCAGGTGAGCACAAAGTCATGCACTTGAGCAAAGCCTGTAAAATCCCTCTAGATTACACCGGTGAATGGATTTGCCAGTGACTGGAGCTAAGGGCTAGAGACTGGGAGGACAGCAGCTGCTGAGCCACTGGCTTTCAGTAAGTTCTGTCGCTAGTGCATTGGTCTCAGGGAGTATAAGAACTCAGAGATGCTGGCCGCTTGCTTCAGCTGAGCTTTCCCGTGTTAATACATGCCAGAAATAACAGTGGTGCCAGGCTAGTGACATGCTCTAGCTGGAACTCTCGTGGTGGTTTGCCAAGGGTAAGTTACTGAAAGCTTGTTCTCTTCTTTGGCAGATCTCTGTCGGCTTTATCGGCCTATCACAGCGGCCTGATCACACCGATGAAGATCCGTACGGAGACCCCAGGCAATCTGCGCTTGTACAGTGGGAGTCCCACCCGCAGTGAGAAGGAGCAGGTCTCCATCAGCTCCTTCTACTACAAGGAGAGGGTAAGGGAAAACCTTTCCCAATGCCTGTAACAACTTGCCTTCCTTCTCTCTAGCCCATTAGCATCACTGTCCTTAACCACATACATTATTGTCTGCGGAGCTTCTTCGTTCTACCAGGGAAGCATTCCCTTATGAGCCGCTCCGCTAAAAAGTCACCATGGCTTGGCTCCTTTGTGTTGTTTCTCTGTCCATTGATTGCTCCTCCGTTTTGACTGGCCCATTTATTTCAGCTTCCCTCTGAACTTGCTGTTTGTTGGACTGATTCCCTTGCTGTAGGTAGGCCTAGCATAACTAAGGCGCTCCCAGTGCTGCTGAACGCAGAGCTCCTACTAGCAATGTCTGTGGAGCCTCCGGAGCAAGGATCTCCGTAACCAGTTGGCCTGTGTCTGCTTTCCCTGACATACTCCAGGGTAAAGAACCAGGCCTCTGGCACTGGCTCATTGAGAAACTCCAGGAGGAGCTGCCTCCATTTCTAGATGGGTTGTCAGTGGTCGCATCTAGACACCCCAGTTGGCGATGGTGGCCCATTTGGCTAGCTGCTGTACACACAGACCGTGACAAGACGTCCCTGGCCCAACTAGGTAGGTTAAGTAAAGCACCTGTTACCATTGCAGAGTGGGCTAGTCCTGACTCAGCAAACCTTTTGGGGATAGTGACCTGTTTTTTTACCATTGTGTCCTGTTACATTGCGGGAAGAAGGGCTGAATAAGTGAGGCTGCAAGAAGTCCTAAAAGAGCTATTTGGTGGCAGGCCCGGAGGTGCCTGTTGTGCAAGTGTTGTGTGAGTAACCAGCCTTGCAGCGTGTTCTAGGGTGAGCTGACATGCTTGAAACAAAGAACTCAAAGAACTGTATAAGCTTATTCACAGAATGCCTTAAAATTCCAGACTTCCAAAGTAAACGGCCCAAGGCCTGTGCTCAGGTATGGAGTTTCTCCTGCAGCAATGGATGGCTTCCTAGATGCCTAAAGCAGGGCAAAGAGATGCCAGCCATTGGCTGCCTAAGAGCCTGAGTTTTCCTCAGCATTGGCATGGAGAGTTAGAGCTCTGGTCCTGGCAGGGCAGCAAAAGAGGAACTGATTTTCTAGCAGTCTGCTTTAATGTGTATTTCCTCATGGACAGAATGTCCGGCAATTGCCAGTTTGGGTCTGCATTATGCTCAACTGATAGGCAGCAGAACGGTCAGCCATGGGTGGAGCCTCTAGTGGGACCTCTCCTCATCAAAAGCTTTGTCTCCATATCGCCCCCAGTAGCGTCTCTTAGAGTAGCGGTTCTACCCATATTCCCCTCAAACTTCCTTTCAATGGGCACTGCCGTGGTGCTGCCTGATCATTAGCATTCCAGCCTGTCCCTGCCTTCACATGAGTCTATTTGAAGAGCTGCCCCTCTCTGTCCTCTGCAGTGTGCTTGTCCCTGACACACACCTTGCTAACATGCCAGGCTAGTCTAAAAATATGCACATAAGCATCTGGGTGTGATTTTTATGGGACCTGCCTCTCCAGCCCATGGACTGATGGCGACACGACCCTAATATGTCCAGGAAAAACCTACATGACCAAGCATGTGTGTGTTGTTGTGCTGGGTGAAACACAGATACACTCATATGTCCTCCCTTCCCAGCCCTGCAGGCTTTCCTTTGTCCAGGCTACTCTAAGAGGAGGGCAAGAAAGTAAGAACCGCGCACAATGTCGTTGCAGGTGAAAAAGTCAGACACTTTTCTGAGTGAGTCAGAGGAGTCATGGAATGAGATTTCCTGACTTCTCAGAGTTTGATCTCACAGCCTTCATGTTACATTAATGGTTTGGGGTTTTTTTTATCATTTAATTTCCAAGATTTTTAGGGTTAGAAAAAATAAAAATCTGGATCTTGTCAACTCCTTGCTCTGGAGGATTGATTGGTTTTAATACAATGTAAATGGGCCGTTTAAACCATCAATTTAAATCACCAAGTGGAAAGCCTGAATTTAAATAATTGATTTTAACCAACTTTTCCCTTTGTACTTTGGTTATTTTCTGAAGAAAGGTGCTTCCTCATTGGTTGATATAACCATTAAAACACGTTTCACGTTTACAACTAAATGATTTATTAAACAAAAGGTTTAACTGTAGTCAGTGAATTAAACTGATTATTTCAGGTCAGCCTGGGAACATTTTTAGATATGCCTAAGAGAAAGTGATCTAGTCCTAGTCCTACATTCCAAGTCTTCCCCTAGTCTCTTGAAAATGAGACAGTCTCCTAAATTCTTTAGGCTGATTTATGCCATATTTATAAAGTTTGACCTCAAAAGCCAAAAAAATGAATACTTCAGAAAGATAACCAGATGTTTAAACTGCAAACGCCTCTGCAGCCATATCCATAGCAGTCACTACCAAAGGGATGGCTGGAATCAACAAATGAATGAAATCTGTACATTGCCAGACAGAAAATATACTCTAATGTTCCTGGAGAAGCAGTTAAGCTACTGAGATCTCCAAATGAAAATTGAAAATGGGTCTCTGAGAATTAATGTGCCGCCCCTACCCCCTACCCCCCACCCTCAATCCCTAAAAAAGTGACTCTCAATTATTAACCATGAAAAGTTGGGTTTCTGGTAGAAGTCCCACTAGCCAATGGAGTGTCAATGGAAAGTTGTAACTTTCTATTGTTTTGTTTGTATAATGCTAGAACCCAAAGGCCTCTGGGACTCATAGCACCCAGCACTGTGTAAAAGGCAGGGCCTGCCCTGAATTGTTTACAATTCAAGGTCCTGATCCTGCAAAGAACTGCACAGCTCTGTTGACTTGGATGGGCTCCGGCCTCATGATTTTCTCTGAGGTCGGAGCTTAAGTAATTTCAAGAAAAGAAAGCAGCGTTTGGGAGTTCTCTCCAGGCTCATGTACAGAGCACTGCCTCCTTTCCTGGCTCAGGAGCTAATACCATCAGTTTCTTGCCCAAATCCGTTCCATGAGAGAAACATGGCATCCCCTCCATGGTAATAGGACAGAGGATGGATTTTCCTGATTTCTCTGATGTCCATGGTCTTGTTACTTTGCATTCACATGCTGGTATCAAAGCTTCAGAATCCACACTACCTGGCTGGCAAATCTGAACATTACAAGCCCAAAGACTGAGATCTCAGTCCAAGGGGGAATCATCCCTAATAGTGCTGCTGCCCGTACGCTGCCACGAGATCCGTACAGCAAGGGCATGTACCAGACTCAGTACTACTTTGAGGCCGTCCAATGAGACCGTCCAATGGTGCCTTCAATAGAACAGTTCTTTGAGTGAGGCAGAGCAGGGGAATCTTCTCTTTCTCTGCTTGTCTCAACTATATTTAATTTCTCACTGCTCGGCCCTTCCTCCTCCTCTTGTGAAGATTGTTGGAGGTGCCCGCAACTGAAGGAAGGGTAGTTCTCCTGGTAAACCTTTCTCTGAATCCTCCCAGCATGACTCAGTCCTGCTTAGCTATGCAACAAGCTGAATATGAACAACTCTCTCATGGCAATGCAGTTTACTGCATTGTTGCTATTAATGTTCTTTGTGTGGGGATGATGGTGATGGAAGAAATGTCACAGCAATGAGGCGCAGGGGCAGGTTGTACCAGAGGCTCAGACCATGGTTGACAGCTCTGACTGTCCTTTATCAGCTGAAAATGGCTTGGCATGCTATTGCAGACAGCACAGATGAGCAAGGTCTCCCCTTTTGACTCCAACCCATTTGTACTCAAAGTGGTTTTTGAATCCAGATCAAGGTTTTGTATTTATTCAGGAAGCATACAGTTCATCCTTAAGGCTACTGGAAACAGTCTGTGTTGAATATTTTTTTATAAAGGCGTATTTTGACTGCATAACACAAGTCAGTGAACGTGACCAAGATTATGCTGATCCAACTCAAATGCAAAAAGGAAGGAAAAATAGAGTTGGGGAAAAGGAAAATCTTACCGGCTCCAATCTGCCCCCATAGTCCCTGGGTCTGGGGCAGGACTGCTCCTTACCGTCTGTTCACCTGTCCTTTGGTTCATTTCACTATTAAATGGGGCGTCCCTTTGCTGGGTTAGTGCACAGCCTAACATCTCACAGCCAGGGAGCTTTTCCTGATGGACTAAATTTGTCTTTCACCGTTACTCCTAGTTACCTCCTCTTGCCCGCTCCAGCCTTGCTGGCCCAAAGGAGAGAGAACACAGCCACAAAGAAACCGGACCATTTGGCAGCTCCCACAAGGGGATTGTAGTAACTTAGGTGTCAATGAAATCAAATCAGTGCAGAGCTTCTGGGTCTGCCGTTCTTTTCTCAGCATCTCTAATTGCAGCTCCTGTCATTGGTCCATCCATTCGACTGAAAGTAAAAGGGGATCTTTAGCCCATTGTAAGATCCCCGTTTTGGGATTTTACCATAAACACTGTGCCAGGTTCCAATGGCCGACGTTCCTGCAGGATCCAAGGGAGGAGCAAGGTGAGCAGCTGGGTGTCTGAGGAGCCTGCGAGAGAGCTCCTCACCTGGCCTAGTACCTCCAGCCCAAAGGCAAACAGCCTGGCTCTCTGCTCAGCTTGGGCACGGCCCTGCTATGGAGTCAGCTGAGCCACAAGTTCATAGGCTCTGTTAGCAATGGCCTCTTCTTTAGTGTCAAGGCCTATAAAATAAATTAATGGAGATATCCCATCTCCTAGAACTGGAAGGGACCTTGAAAGGTCATCGAGTCCATCCCCCTGCCTTCACTAGCAGGACCAAGTACTGATTTTTGCCCCAGATCCCTAAGTGGCCCCTCAAGGATTGAACTCACAACCCTGGGTTTAGCAGGCCAATGCTCAAACCACTGAGTTATCCCTCCTCTCATGCTGGAAACCCTTTATGAGATCTTCATGTGGGCTGCCTTCCCGGTCCTGTGAACACACAGGAAAGCTGCCCGTTCACCACCCATGACAGCTCTCGATGTAGCACACCAGCGGTCTGCCACAGTGTTGTGGGTTCTGGGGCCATGGCAGGCACCAGCTATGTTAAATGTCATGTGATCAGTCTAGTGCTTAGCTCTGTGCTTCCAGCACCCTAGAGAGGAAGCATTGTCTAGTGGCTAGAACGGGGGCTGGGACTCAAGAGATCTTGATTCTGTCCTCAACTGCGCCACTGCCTTGCTGTGTGACCCTGAGCAAGTCACTTCACCTCTTTGTGCCGGCTACAATAATATTCCTCCATCTCGGTGGGAGGCTTAGCTCATTAATGCCTGGAGAGTACTGAGGTCCTCCAAAGGAGCCAGTGACGGGCTGAGAGACAGCAGCCCCCTCCCTGCAGAGCCTATGGCTAATGTCACACCGTGCAGAAGGAATGGGGGATGCTTCCGATTGGACCTCGTTTTGAAATGGCCCTTTGGGGAATGCCATGGAGTAACAAACTACAAGCCACAATGCCCCTTGCTCTCTTGGTCTGGGCTTTTTTGGATTTTAGTTATTTATTCTTTTCTTTTTCTTTTAATTTTCTTGGTGCCTTTCTTCCTTTCTCCTCTGGGGTGTAACGTTTTCACGCACAGATGTCTCTTCGCTCTGCCCGGCGGCGCTGGTCCATACAAGCAATTAACGACTTCCCGGTACTGTGCGTTGTGCTAATGCTCTCCTTGCCTTACACTGTCTTCTCCCCAAGAATAAAGCACTCCCTGCCTGACCTAGGATAACCTGAACAACAGGCTGTTCCGTTATTAGACCCAGTGCCAGGAAGGGGGAGATGGGGTCATGGAGTAGGGGAGTTGCACTATACACTGTACCTAAAAGAGTCCAGAGAATCAAATGTAGTAACACTTCCGAATGGGCAGTAGCATCTGTAGGGACACAGATCCCAAATCGTAAGAGTATAATATGGGCTTGTGTGACCCAGCATTCGGATCACAAAAAGGCTGCTGAGGGAGATCAGAGAGGCTAATAACATAGTAAAAAAGGATGTACTTTACTTTCAAGAAGTAAAGGGAGCAATTAAGAAGGCTAAGGACGTTGAAGAAAAGCTAAATGATTTCTTTGCACCAGTGTGAGAGGATCCGTGAGTCCTGAACCCAGGCCCACGGGCGCTCAGGCCACTGCTGGATCCACACCATCACCTAACAGCTCTACTACTGACTGGAGAATTGGGAGCCCTCCACTAAAGTTACTGCCCAGAGGGACCTGACGGGAGGAGCCCATGAGTATGCTATTTAAGCTAGAAAGAGACACAGGAAGTTGTCTTTGCAACAGGGTGGATCCTGGCTTGCTGCTACAGACCCTGCCACCTGACTCTGGCCTCGTCCCCAGTTCCTGACTTTGACCCTCCCTATTTCCAGCCCCTTGCTCCAGTCCCTGAATCCTGTCGCACTGGTGACTAACTGCTCTGGCTCCGACGGCTATGGCTCTTTGGTTTCTGACTGAGCACTGGTGCACCTGTTTCCTGTCTGACCCTGCCTCCAGCTTTCAGCTCTGACACCTAACTCCGACATACCCATTGGCCTCTGGTTCCTGAACACTACAGTGATCACCAGGCCAGAAGGCCCACATCCCAGTCACTGGTACCAGTCTTCCACAGGCCCTGACAATCAGTCGAAACAACCAAGGAGGAGGGGTCACGCCTGTCCCAGGCCTCCCCTTTTCAGATAAAGACAAGGGGTCACAGATGGAGATTTCAAAGAGGTGTCGGAACAAATTGCTAAAGAGCAGCAAGTCTCCTGGACTTCGCAGCATCATCCAACCATATTGGAAGAAAAATTCACTTAAAAAGGAAGTGGTTAAAAAACCTACCATCTCATGAAAATCAGCTGCTGTTTTTTAATTCAGTAGATTTGCTACCCTTCAGTCATAGAATCATAGAATATCAGGGTTGGGAGAGACCTCAGGAGGTCATCTAGTCCCACCCCCTGTTCAAAGCAGGACCAATTCCCAACTAAATCCTCGCAGCCAGGGCTTTGTCAAGCTGGGCCTTAAAAACCTCTAAAGATGGAGAATCCACCACCTCCCTCGGTAACCCATTCCAGTGCTTCACCACCCTCCTAGTGAAATTTTTTTTCCTATTATCCAACCTAAACCTCCCCCACTGCAACTTGAGACCATTACTCCTTATTCTGTCATCTGCTACCACTGAGAACAGTCTAGGTCCATCCTCTTTGGAACCCCCTTTCAGGTAGTTGAAGGCTGCTATCAAATCCCCCCTCATTCTTCTCTTCTGGAGACTAAACAATCCCAGTTCCCTCAGCCTCTCCTCATAAGTCATGTGCTCCAGCCCCCTAATCATTTTTGTTGCCCTCCGCTGGCCTCTTTCCAATTTTTCCACATCCTTCTTGTAGTGTGGGGCCGAAAACTGGACACAATACTCCAGATGAGGCCTCATCAATGCCGAATAGAGGAGAATGATCATGTCCCTCGATCTGCTGGCAATACCCCTACTCATACAGCCCAAAATGCCATTGGCCTTCTTGGCAACAAGGGCACACTTCTGACTCATATCTAGCTTCTCTTCCTCTGTAATCCCCAGGTCCTTTTCTGCAGAACTGCTGCTTAGCCAGTCAGTCCCCAGCCTGTAGCGGTGCATGGGATTCTTCCTTCCTAAGTGCAGGACTCTGCACTTGTCCTTGTTGAACCTCATCAGATTTCTTTTGGCCCAATCCTCCAATTTGTCTAGGTCCCTCTGGACCCTATCCCTACCCTCCAGCATATCTACCTCTCCCCCCACCCTAGTGTCATCTGCAAATTTGCTGAGGGTGCAGTTCATCCCATCATCCAGATCATTAGTAAAGATGTTGAACAAAACTGGCCCCAGGACTGACCCGCGGACCGTAGGAAAGTCCGCTTGATACCGGCTGCCAACTAGACATTGAGCCGTTGATCACTACCCGTTGAGCCTGAAATCTAGCCAGTTTTCTATCTTTAAAAAAGCAGTAGGATTATTTTGGGAATGACAGCAGTAATCTGTAGTTCAGTACCGGGTACCTGGTTGAGCTCTAGTTAAAACTATAATTATGGTACACCTAGAAGAACATGATATGATAGTGACAGACCAGCATGGCTTTTGTAAAGGAAAATTGTACCTCCGTAATCTACTACAACTCTATGAATGTGTCACCAAAATAGTGGCTGAAAGAGAATAGAAAGACATAATTCATTTGGACTTTCAAAAAGCCTTTGACAGAGTCTTTTGCAAGAGGCTAGTAAGGAAACCAATGTTCTGAAAGGGTGAGAAATAAAGTTTTGCCATGGATCAGCAACTAAGACAGAAAACTGAGCTAGGGAAAAATGGCTAGTTTTCAACGTGGCAGAAGTTTTAGTGAGATGCTCCAAAGTTCTATCCTCAGGCCAGTGTTCAATTTATTTATCAATGATCTGGAAAAGGGAGTGAGTAGTGAGGTGTCAGAATGTGTGGATAACCCATCATTGTTTAGATGAGTCAGGACAGGAGAAGAGGAACCTAATTGAGTGAGGAACTACAGAGGGACCTAACCAAGCTAGGTGCCTGTTCAGCATAACAACAGGAGGAAGGAATGTTATGATGAGAGAATCAAAGTAATGCTCACGGAAAGGAATCCTCTGAACTGAGGAGTGCGGAGTGAAATATAATCACTCAGGAAGCAGACCTGGGCGTCACTGAAGACAATGCAATGGAAACCTCTGCTCAATATGCAGCAGTCACAATGTCTGGATGCGTAAAGAATAACGCTATCCATACTATTAAGGCATTCTAGAAATCAATCTACCAAAATGATAAACAGAAAAGTAGACACCTTCGAAAATAAGTGTCTCTGAAAAATTCTGAGCGTTGGTTGGAAAGACTTCATCACCAACGTAGAAATCTGAGAAATTACTCACCATCATCTCATTTCCACTAGAATTAGAAGAAAGCCCTGGTTGTATTTGGGGCATGTACTTTGGATGCCAAGAGACAAACTCCCCTGGGAAGCTGTCAAGTGGAAAGCAGCTGGCGTGAGGAAATGCGGGCACCCTAGGGAGAGCAGACCAGTCAATTTTACCACCATACAGAAGACCATGACCAAGCGGAATAGCAGAGACTAGATTCTACACTGTGCACCAGTATTGGTACAGGAAGGATGTCATGTAATGATTGTGATGAATAAATCAATAGCATGCAGTCACCTGGAAAATTGTGTTCCGTGCCAGTCACCCTGCCTCAAAAAAGATACAGAAGAAATTGAAGGGGTTTTTGAAGAGAGGCAGCTAAAATAGTTAGAGCCATGAGGGGACTTCCATATATGTTTAGTTTTAGAGAGGAGACAACATGATGGAGGGATACAAAACAATGCCCCATATGGAAAAAGTGAATTATTTTGTTTCGTAACCAAGAGCTGGGGACAGTCAGTGAAACCCCGTAAGCAAATGTAAAACTGATAAAAGAAAATACTTTTATGTACTACATAACTATCGTGTGACCTTTCTTGCCACCAGAGATCATTGAGACTGAGAGCTTATTAGGATAATGAGACTATCCACCGATTAAATGAGAGGCACCAAACCCTCCTGCTTCAGGGCAGGAACCAGCCACTAATTGATGAGGGTCAGGAAGAAATAGCCCCCAAATGGACAGGTTCTTCCGTAATTGCCCACTTGGGATTTCTTGCCCCTTCCTTGGAAGCTGCTGGGACTGGCTACCAGGGCAGATGCTGCAAACAGCAAATCTTAATGTTGCAGAGAACCTTGTTCTAAAAACCCTGGCAGTGTGGTGGTCAGGCAGGGTTCGGACACCTGTAATTGGAGTTAACTGGGGTTTGTTGTTCAAAATACCAGGAGGACTTTTCAGCAAGAAAGCGTTGACAAACACACTGCGCCCCACTGGGGATTTCATGAGAAGCAGCTTGAACCTGATCTGGAGTCGGTGAACTTAATCCTTGGCATCGTCTACATTCTCCCCCCTTTCTATCTCTCCACTCCATTAAAATAAATGTTACCCTTGAACCTCTCTCTCACATGCCCCTACATTTCATGGGGCTACCTAAAACACTGCCTGTGTCAGGAGGATTCCGAGGGGAGACATGAATGTTCAGTAGCTAAGAATCCCCGTTCCAAGAGGAGCATGCAGGATTTTGTAACCCTTTCTGCTGATTATGCAGGGATAATTGTAGTTGCTACAAGCAGTGGGTGGCTCATTCTTGGGCTGTCTGTTTCCGCACTGAACCCATTTACTGCCATCATCACCTCAGATTGCAGCAAATGGTGCCCTCAGGCTAGCTGTGCAGTCATTTCTCAGGGCTGTTCCCCACAGCTGTCCCCCCTCCCCGTGACTGTCTGAACACTCTTGGTTCC